GCGGCTAGAGGAGCGAACCAGAGAGGGGAGCCGTCTCGGACCTAGCAATAGAATTAAGGTAATTGAGTCTTGTGTTTTTATTTCGATCTCGTCTAACTAACTTTATGCCTAGAACCTCATTAATGAAACCACTGCGCAGGCCGCGTGGTAGAGAGGTCAACTTCAGCAACATAGTGGGACCCTGTCTCAAAATAACAGTCAAAAGATAAAAAGGCTGGGAACACAGCTCAGTGGTTCAGCACCCCTGGGCCAGTTTCCCAGTATCTCACACACACACACACACACACACACACACACACAAAGTTCTTTTGCTTTTGTTTTTTTAAATAAAAAGAGCTCTGGTTAGGGTTTAGATGCGAGGTGTTCCCCAACAGTTCATTTGTGAGACAAATTCTCAGAGGTGAAATGATTAGATTACGGGAGGGTAACCTCACCGGTGGATTAATTCACGGACACAGGTTACCTGGGCAGCAGCTGTGGGCAGGTAGGGTGTGGCTGGAGGAAGGGGGTCCCTGGGCCTTTGGGGTTTCTTCCTCCTTGGTGGGAGGGGCTCTCCCTCTGCTTCCCAGGTGCCATGTCCTGGGCTCCTGTCCTCCGCCACCCTCTCTGCCACAGTGTTCCACCTTATCTCTGGCTCAGAGCTGTGGAGTCCGCCGACTGTGGACGAACCTCTGAAATCATGCGCCAAAATAAACCTTCCCCTTTACTTGTTCTGGTCAGATCTTTTGGTCACAGTGACCAAAACAGCTCCCAACTCGGACAATCCATCCGCGAATGAGGTAATGATGGCCGAAGACCAGCAAAGCCCAAGCCACGGAAATGGTCATCACTGTTATCATTATCGCCTTTTTAAAAAGAGAGGGATACCGAGGCTGGACTTGCAAAGTGACCAAGAATTCTGGCTTGTCCAAGACTGGGGGGACTCCCAGGGTGCAGGACTCTYAGTGCTAAACCCGGTCAGGCAAACCCCAACGTGACGCCAGTCTTCATCCAAATGAAGCCTTCCCCGCTCACTCACTCAGGTTTCTCATCTGTTAGAGTGGGAGTGGCACAGGGTTGCTGCTGGGATAAAACAAGCAAGTAGCCCATCAAAGTCCTGACGCTCACCCGGAGCTCCATACACAATGCTGTTAACCACCACGGCTCCACTGGGTCACGGCAAGAGACACCCAAGGATTTGAGGTCCACAATCTGATTCTGAGCTACCAAGGAACATTAAACTGTGAACATTGTTCCTGATGTGCACCATCAGCCACGTGGAGCGTGCATTATGATGTCAGGCATCAAATAGGGAGAGGGCCCCACCACAATACTTCATGCCACTGTAAAAGCACACATTGTTGTGGTGTTCACACTAGCCATTAAACTCATAGAATTGATCTACAAATTATGAAAGATTAACCATAGTTTCAGGACAAAGTACAAATATTATTCAGGATATTGTTGAGGTATTTTAATGGTCAGAGGCAGGAAAGCAGAAGCAGGGTAGAGGGGCAAAGGCTGAGATCCAACGAGGAAAATTAAGAGCTGGCATCCCATAGACACGGAACAAACGTCTGCTCATGTCAAACGAGAGGATTCTGGAGAAGTGACTGGGAGCCACACTGGTGAGGTCTTGAAATGTCACATTCGAGAGTCTGCGGTTCACCCACTGGCACTGGTCACGGCCACTAAAGAGACCTGCTTTAGGGAGACAGCCGTGGTGGCAATGATGGTGAAATTTGAAAGGAGGACCAGTTGGAAGACTTCTGTACTTGTGCAAAGCAGAGGAGGCTTAAGGTGGAACTAGGCAGAGGACCCACAGGAACTATCCTGAGGTGCCATCAACATGAATTGGTAATAATAAAGCCACCACGTGTTAACTGCCTCCAGGAGGCCCAGACTCTGTGCTCCCTTCCCGAGAACCCAGCAGCATTGGTCTTAATATACTAATTTTACAGATAAAAACGCAAAATATGTTCAGAAAACATGTGATTTTTCCCAAAGTCACACAGCTCAGCAATGGCCATGCTGGGGTCTGTGGCAGAGCAGTGGGATTCCCAAGTCCAGGAGCAAAGGTCAAGGGGTAGTGCGGGTTTCTGCCTGGGTACTTTCTTAGATGATGCCCTTGGCTGCAGGTGACTTCAAACACCATCTCTGTGTCTTGATTTCCAAGTGTGTATCTCAAGTCCGACCAAGGTCCAGACCCCACCTCCCCCACAAGCCTGTCTTCTTTGTGGATGCCCACAAAGTCTGACAGCACAGTAACCAATGTGACCTTGACCAAGGGCATCCTGGGGAGGAGCCGTAATGCAGACAGCACCTGCAGGAAGCAGAGACTGGCTGCTGGCTGGCTCACAGGCAGAACTCCCAGGTGACTGTCAGGGCCACAGCGTTGGCTGTAGGCACAGGCTTCATCAAAACCCAGGGAGGTGCAGAGGGCTAGTCGTTCATTCATTCCCTTAACAAGGAGTTACCGCACGCCCACCCTGTGCCAGGCACTCAGTGATACAGTGGCTACTGCCTGCAGTGAGTGGACAGACTGGGTACATTTGTGTCATTTACATCTGAGTAGGGAAGTCAGATGATAAGCAAATAAGTTAACTAAATAAAAAATACCTAAGATGGTGGAAAATTAACAAGAAAAGGGATTCAGGAGTGCCTTGGGAAGAGGGAGGCTGCAACTCCTAATGGAGTGGTCAGGAAGGACTGTCAGAGAAGCCTGGTCCCCACTGCCCATCACTGATGAGTCCTCCCAATGTCTGCGTTTTGCTGTTGATTCTCTTGAGGGGCGAGTCCTGGAACTGAACAGCTGATTGCCAAACCCCAAGGCCCACGCCCACTCCCTTACCTCCTCTGAGGGTGGGAAGAGGGAGAACTGGCCCTTTAACCTCAGAGATTCAGTGGCTACTGCCTTCAAAGAAGACGCAGAAATAAGGGATTCTCCCAAAGGAGGAGGGAATCTGGGCTCTAGACCACCAACAAGTCCCAGCAATAGATGCGATCAGTAAGAGAGCGCCTTGCAGCTACCAAAGGGCGCACAGAACTGGAGGGCCATGCCTCGAGAATCTCAAACAGGTTTCCAGAGGCAGGGAAGGGAAGGGGAGCCAGTGAAGGAGAGCAGAAAGGACCAGGAGGGAGCAGAGCCTGAAAGCCCACGGAGAGTTCAGAGGCAAGTGGTGACTGTACAAGAGCAGTCTGGAGAGGTTCCAAGCAGAGCCGGACTGTGACTGAGAAGGAACTAACGGTGGGTGGAGTCTCAAGTCGGACAGAGCAGCTGCTGAGCCCTAGCCAAGCCCTGCTCCTGTGGTTGTTAATGGGACGCTGTGTCTCCACCTCCCTTGCACTGGAACTTCCCAACAGCTTGCGGAAAAGGTCTTATTCCCACTTGGAAATACATGAAAACTGATTCCATACCCAGGGTCAGGGGAGATTCTCTTTTCCAGGAATACATGTTGTCCGTAGATATCAAAATGCATTTCCTGGCCCAGAAATTGCTCTTTAAAGAAACTGAGGCAAAAGAAATCGCCAGAAGTATGCACGCAGACTTTCCTGCACAGTTGTACCCCGTAGTGGGAAAGAATAGGGGTTCACCCTGGCCAGGAAGAGACCTGCAGCCACTGCTAAGCCCATCTTCGGAATGAAACACTCAAGAAAGGAAAGGGATTCTCTGCCTCTGGACAGTGCAGACGACAGTACAGAGAGTATGACTCCATTGTGTGTGTGTGTGTGTGAACTTCTTGGTTTATTTTCCCCTATATTTTCCAAAATTTCTACAATAAACAAAGACAACTTTTATAATGAGACTTAAAAGAAGGTGCGTGTTTGTGGTCCAACAGGCCTATCTGGGAAAGGAGGCTGGGATTCTCCTAATTCTCCAGCCTGCCTTCCACCGCCCCGCGGTTTTTCTTTGTGCCACAGTCAGCAGGGGAATAAGATCTCCCTCGATGACGCAGCAGTTTTGCGGTTTGCTGACTTTGTGGGGTGCGAGGGGTTGAACCCAGGAGTGCAAAGCACTGAGCCAAAGTCCCAGTTCTTTTTGTATTTTATTTTGAGACAGGGTCTTGCTATATTGCTGAGGCTGGTCTCCAACTTGCGATCCTCCTGCCTCAGCCTCCCCAGCCGCTGAGACCACAGGCCTGCGCCACGCACCCAGCCTCTCTGGCGTCCAACCTTCAACTAGAGCAAGCCCTCTAACCCTCGCCGGCACCCTCAACACAAGCTCTCGCTCGGGGAGGAGAAAGCACACAAAGCTGGAACCGCGGAGCGGCAGGGCAGGCGCTCGGGGCCCTCGAGTCCTCCCGGACGTGCGCGCCGGACTCGGGAGCCCGGCCGGGGGGACAGGCTCGGGCCCGCCTCCCCGAGGTCGCGCCAGCTCCCGCGCACGCGCCCTGCGTCCCCGGGCGTCCCGCGGGTGGCCGGCGCCGAGCTACGGTGGCCCTGCGGGGCGAAACCACGGACGCGCCACCGCTCTGCACACCCGACCCGCGAAGACGGCGCGCGGAGCAGCGGGCCGCGAAGGCGCGGGGAACCGAGCGGACGCACGGACGTAGGACGGAGGGGCCGTCCGTGGGCAGCCAGGGGCAGGAGGGAGCCCCGCCGCTGGGTCCAGACCGGGGGCGTGGTCGCGGGGCGGAGCCTGCTCGAGGCCCCGCCCCTCGCCCCGCCCGGCGCAGCCGAGAGCCGGAGCCGCGCCCTGACGCGCTGCGCAGCTCGGGTCTGCACCAGAGCTCCGGAGGTGACCCAGGTGAGTGCCGCACCTGGGGCTGCGGGAGGCCGGCCCTCGGGACACTTGGGGGTCTGCACTGGGCGCAGCCTGCGTCCCCGCCGCTGGGGCTGAGCCGGGCCCTCCGCCCGCTTCCTTACCAGATCTGAGCTCCGCATCCCATGCCTTTTGCTCTCCACCCCCTGATCCCTCCCTGATGGAGTGCTTTGGAGCATCCCAGCGACGCCCGGCCTCTAAGTCAGGGGGAGTCTCAAGGTCAACCCTTCCCCGGCTCCGTCGTTCCTCGCCGGCTCTCCTCGGCCGTGCAGCCTTCTGGAGCCCCCTCCCACCTGGCCAAATCAGCTCTGGTACCGAAGGGCGAGCGCAGCACCGCAGAGGAGCTGGCCGTGAGGCCTGAGCGGTAGCGCTGGTTTCTAAAGGGCCTGCGAGCGCGGCGCCAGCCCGAGGTGTTGCTAGGAGCCTTCGGGGACATCCTCCAGGGAATTGTCTTCTGTCCGACTCTGGAACATTTGTGTTGGAACCTGTAGGTGGGTCATTTCCTACCGCTGCCCTAGAGCAGGAGACCCCTCTAGGTGGGTGGGGGATCTGCATTCCTCTCCTTTGAAGTTCAGAAACGTGCCCTGCTTAATTGGTGCCACCGCCGGGAGGCCGGGAGCCACAGAGGTGGGGCGCTGGGAGGGACTGGAGACTAGTTCATGAGTCATTGCCTGAAGTTGTGGCTTCTGCTAATACTTTCCCTGGGAGTCACGAATTTACGAATAGCCTGGGAGACAGTGAGGGTGGGAAGGGAGAAGAAGAAAAGCAGACAGCAGGACAGAGGGGGTGAAGGAGTACTGGGCCCTGGGACTTAGTCCCCTAGCCCAGGGTGAAGGGCGCTTCTGGCGGTGTAGGCTGTGGGCCTAGGTGTGGTTTGCAGAATTGCTGCAGATTTGGGGGTGGGAGCTGGAGCGAGGTGTCTTGGGAAGTCTGCAGGTCACCTGGCGCCTTCTGGAAAGCACCCAAGGTTTTTAGTCAGAGTTACAGGCATGTTTTACTTTAGTGAACTTAGACATGCAACAATGTTATCTCTCTCAGAATTAAGAATGTTTATACATACAGAAGTTAAATAAGGAATTAAACATTCCAGAATCCAAACAAATACTTTCACCCCTGGGAAGACATTTTGTTAAGCTTCCCTCCTGACACAATGTTACAGAAATAGAAAACTTTGTCAAGTGATTTTTTTTTCTTTTACCAATGTTACTATATATAAAATGACAGTGATACTGTGACCAGCATAGAAACTGCACTCCAGGGGCTTCTGTAGATTAGGGAACAAAATCAGAGAACGGCAGCCTTCCCCCATATTTGGTTTCCTCCTGCTGGCCTGGAGTTGGAGAAATCGTCCTGAGGGGGACCTCTTCACCTGGAGGTTAGCACTCTACCATTATCCAGAGATGCTGAGAAGCCCCTGGCGGTCTGGGTAAGGGGGTGAGATCAGCAGGAAGAGCAGTTCACTGCATGCGGCACATCTCACTGTACGGAAACGTCCCAGTCCCTATATTTACCCATTCTGACTATTCAGAGCACCATTGCTGGCCACAATTGACCCAGAACCATTTAGCATTCTAAAGCAATATTTGTCTAGAAGAATATGCTGCTACTATTTTTGCAATAGAATTTATTAGTATTATTTATGAGCATGCCATCCTCCTGAACAAGAAGCCAGCAGTTAGCAGGTAGATTATTTCTGTGTAAAACAAAATCTCTTGCAGCACTGACTTCCCTGCCTGCCTGTGGGGAGGAATGCAGCAATGAGGGGACAGAAGAACTGTGCCACCTCCCAGATGCGATTGCAGAAACCTTTCAGGACCTCACAGGTCTCCCTGTTGTCCTCCGAGCGCCTCCTAGACTTGACCTGTTCGTTGACTGGAACACGGATTTTAAGATCTTGATGCCTTAGTCCCACTTATTATTTTTTTTTTTTAAGAAGTGACATATTCTTCAGAAATGCAAATGATTGGGCCCAAGCTTGTTCCTAGTGGAGTCAGGTGTGAAGATGTGGAGGCTGCAGTAGGCAGGGGCCAGCGGCTAGGCGGGTCCTTCCCTGGGGGGCTGGTACCCCAGCGGGGATGCGGCATCTGCTAAGAATTAACTGCACTCTGCCTGCACTTCTAGTGGGAAAATCCAAGTGTGTCACTGTGACTCATTCAAGACTTCCTCTTGGCTGGAAGTCGCAGCTTAGCGCCCCCCGGGACTCCCGAGTTGTGACAGTTAAGGGAATCCTGATGTCACAATGGAGTGCCAGCTTTGGGCATTCTGCTTCACGCAGACCTGTGCTTTCCCACCTCTGATCTCTGCTCCTTTTGACACGCCCAGGGCTGACAGACAATAAAATGGAAGTGTCCCTTTCTCAGTCCTTCCCAAGGTTTCCAATGAGAAACATCTCAGGCTTTAATCAGTCATAGGCTTGGAGTTAATTATTAGCTTTCTTCTTATTAATTTATTTGATGCTTAGGAGAGGGTCAGGGGAGGTGGAGATATTTCAAAGAGGTCAGATGTTGTCAGACTTGCTCTTCAACCTCATTGAAAAGCTGTGGAGCATAGACTCTGCAGCCAGGTTGCCAGGGACTATGGATCCAGGCTGTGCTCGTAATAGCTGTGTGATCTTGAGTTAATTATTTAACCTCTCGGATGCTCAGTTTCTCATCTGCGAAATAGAGGTAGTAATGTATCACAGAGATGCTGTGAGAGGGATCCTTCCCTCCCGCCGCCCAGCGGAGCATCAGTGGGTTTGACCCATCCTGAATAATGTGCTGATTGGTGTCTAGAGTAATGGATTTTCCTCCGATGCTTCCTCTGACCTGACCCTTCCCTTGCCAAGCCCTTTCTGGGTGCACCTGCTGTTGTCCTTACACATGTCCCGACATGTCACTGGCGGTGTCCTTCAGGGCTCTCTTCCCAATCTGTCACGTTCGTTTTATGATCCCATGTCGTCGCCTCTGCACCCACACCTGCCTGGAGTGTCACAGCAGATGGGCGTTGACGCCCTGCATTCCTAGAGTGAGTCCTGGAAACAGTCATTCTGAGGAAATGCTAAAGAAGGTGTTAGGCTGGGACACTGGGGTCAGCGTCCACTGGGTGAAGTGTGTCCTGCACCATGTTGATCCAGTCACCTTCATTTAATGAAATTTGTGATAATGGTGCTTTTTTTTTCTTTTTTTGCCTGCACGTCCTGCAGTCTCTCTCCTCTCCCCCCTGCCCTCTGAGGTTGCACCTTTGACCTTGAGGAGCAACCAGTGGGCTGTCTCTGGGAGCCCATCCCGTGGGCGGCTCAGCTAGCCTGGCCCAGGGCTTCTAGGTTAGGTGTCACAGGGCCCTAAGCATGGACACCTGTTGGGGAAACTGTCCTCACGCCTGCAGGGAAGCTGGGTTTCACTCTGTGTTCCCACAAATCCCATGTTCCTGAACCCCTGAAGAGCAGACCTGCCCGCGGGTCCCAGGGGAGACGCGGCTCCCTTCAGCTTGTGTCCCGAGCCCTGTCACAACCCAGCTCCAGAGGCCCTCGATGAGGCCACTCCCTGGCCCTGATCCTTCCCTCCCGCCGCCCAGCAGAGCAACAAACAGTCGTCCCCGGTCCCGACGGCTCACCACCAGGCTGGGGTTCCAGCGCCATCTGAACCGGATTCCACAGCCAGGCTGTGGCTGTGTAACTGAGCACATGGGACGGCAGCGTGTTCACCGCCCGAGGGACAGGTCTCCAGCCTCCTCGCTCACAGTCCACGGGAGGTGTTCTGCCCGCCATGCTGATGAGGAACCACAGGGTACGGGGGCGGAGGACCACTGCATGCCCTGCGCCCGCTGTTGGCCTGCCTGCTGGCTGAGGGATGGTGCCTGCTCAGAGGACTGACCGCCCTGGAGAACTGTCTTTGGGATACGCAAAGCCACCGCAGGAGAAGAGTTAGTTTTTCACCAGGTTTTTATTCCTTTTCAGTCTAACAGTCATTTGAAGGTTTGACACTGAAACAAACTCCCTCTGTGTCGTGTGGAAGTGAGCCAGAGCTGCATTTTGAAGCTGTAGGGAGAACCGGAGAAATCCCAGGGACAGCCGGCTTCTGGGCCACTTCCCTCCGACTCCTGCATTTCTCTTTGAGCTCCACCTGAGCTTGGGAGGGTCAGCTGCCCTACCTGGAGGTCACTTGGAGACCTGTTGCTCTGTGGGCTTGAAGTGGACTGGTGGGCCCCCGAGTCCCCTCGGAGTTCCTTGAACCAGCCGGGGTCAGGGACTGGGGGAAGGCCATCTCTCGTGGTCAGCCAGCCCTTGAGTGGCCGTTCCTACGGGGAACTCACAGGGATGTCGACTCTGCCGTGTAAAATAGGTGCCCTACATGAAAACAGTGGGACACAGCACAGGCACCAGACGAGGACACACTGAAACGTGGGGCAGCAGAGGGGATGTGTCCTCGTCCCCTTCCCACAGGTACTTTAGGGTAAGAGACACCGGCTGAAAACCTGCAGCACAGTTTGAGGAGACAAGATCACAAAGGGAGTAGAAGTCACTGGTGTCCACGCTGGTGTCTGTGTGTGGCCCGAAGGCTCCAGTGATGTTTACTACGAGGTCTGTGCCGGAACGGGACTTGTGGGGACAGTTGTTGAGGCAAGTCCCTAAATCCACAAAGCCTGCCTTTTCTTCCGGGTGCCACCCGGGCGGTGCCCTGGGAGTTCCTGCTGGGCAGGCAGAGGGACGCGGGTGAAGTGGAGGGTGCCTGGCCTTGGGCAGTGTTCCCACAGGGGAGTTCAGGAAGCCTTGTGGGTTCGCCCTGCTGCACCCAAAGGAAGCCTGCCCCAGGAGATAAGGCCAGCAGCGGCCCGGGAATTACAGGTCAGGCCCAGCAGAGCCCCAGAAGAGTCAGGTCCCCGGGAGAATCAGCGGATTCCCAGAGGAGCAGCCTCGGCCTCACTGAAGCCCCGTGTGACCCTCAGTACTGGGTGAGGGTGACTGGGGTCACACCAGCACTGCCTCCCTGTCATCTGGATCCCATCCTTGACGGGCCTTGCCAGGGTGCCTGTGGCTCACGGCCCCATGTGCTGTGGCCTCACTCGAGCTGCTGCCCTGGGTTCCACCCCACGCAGACCTCCAGGCCCCACTGGGCACCGGGCAGCTGCCCCAGGACCTGTGCCCCACCTGGTTTCCTTCCCCCACCTGGAATGTTTGGAAGTAATGAATACTTTGACAGGCGTTAAAAGTTTTAAAATAGAAGTGCTGCTGTTTTCAGTATTCTGCCCTAATAATCAGTTGCTAAAGTGACCTCTCTGCCTCCTTTACATCACAGTGGATGGTGGAAAGCGAAAGCTTCTCCCTAAGATGGGATCCGGCGGGGAGGCTGCTCTTGGTCCTGGTCGACAGCCAGGGCCATCCGTCAGGAGGAGGACACTTCTACTGAAAAAGTGCTTCCTGCTGCAGGGACGCAGCAGGCCTGGCCCTGCCTCGGATCCCGTCCCGCGGGTGAAGTACCCCGACCCCTGCCAGCTCTGGCCTCCCCTGGGCTGCCACCGAGGCTGTGTCCCTCTCCTTTTGCTCTGGGAGTACCTGCCCAGGACCAGGTGGCAGGACTGTCCTGGACTGAAGCCCACAGAGGGGCCCTCCCCTGCTCCTGGTCGGGGAGGAGCCATCCAGCCTGTGGGCAGGGGCAAGCCCAGTGGTCTGCTCCAGACACCAAGAGCGTGAACACTGGTGTCCATCTGCGCTCGACGCCGGCTGACTCCCCAGCCACGGGGCTGCCTTCGGCCTCAGCGCCCCCCGTGTAAGGGGGTGAGGGCAGTAACTGCCACACAGGGCGTCTGAGGGCGAGGAGCACTGGCAGGTCTGCTGAGCGCCCGGCGTGTGGGGAGCCCTTACGGACTGTCTCGTACTTGGGCACTGAGCACACATTGTGATGTTCTGTCCCCTTTCACTATTTCTGCCAGGTGGGAGGAAATTCCACGAGAGGCTCCTTGGTGACCCCATTAAATCCTTACGTAGCCTCCCACTTGACGTCAGGAGAAGTCGAGGCACCCCCGATCCTTGGTTTTAGATGGGGTGGGCCCCCAGGTCAGCTCAGCATAATGAGCATGGGGGCCCTTAATCTCCTATTCCTTTGACTGTGGAGAGTCTGGTCTGGTGACGGTGGCCATGACCGTGAGGAGCGGTCCAGGAACCCAGTGGCTGTTACAAGTTAGGCTGCAAAACGAGTCTCAGAAGAAACTGAGCCATCGTACCGCCTGCTCAGCCTTGAGCCCTGCCTGAGCTGAAGGAAGGAACTGGTCTCCGGGGAGCACGGGCGTCGCTGCATCTCGGTGGCTCTGCAGAGGGACCTCGGAGCCCACCATCATGTTCCAGGGACACGACAGGAGAAAGGTGCCCTGGGAGCCTCTGAGAGCTCAGCAGAATGTGATCACCAAGACGAGGCTCTGCTTCTGGTTGAATCAGATAAAGAGAGTCACCACCTATTGTGTCCAAAATAGTGACAGAAATTTGCCACATTAGATGTGGAGCCTGACCCAAATCATCAGCATCACCTAGGAACTTGTTAGAAAGGCACGGTCTTCAGGACACCCCTGGAAGTGGGGTGCATCCAAACAAGGCCCAGGTGATTCGATGCCACCGAGGTTTGAGAAACAGGGATCTAGAAGACAGAGTAGCAGCACTCTATGGTTTCTGTCTTTGTGCAAGTTACTACTAAAAAGAAGAAAGAAAAGAAATAGGAGCCATCGTCCCTGTTCTCTGTGTCAGCGAGTGGCCAGCCACGGGAGAGGTGCCGCAGGGCTGGCCGCAGGCACTGCAGCCGCCCCTCAGTGTTCAGGAGCCTGTGATCTGTTGGAAGCAAAGCTGCAGGAGTCGGAGGCGCAGCCTCTGCACTGTGTCCAGCGCTGGGTAGAGGTCAAGGTCTGACCCTGGTTCCACCTTGAGAACCTTATCTTGTTGCGTCTATAAAAGGGCTGCAGATGGGTGAGAAGAGGTGGTCAGCACGTGGGCACCTCCAGCCAGGCTTCTGGAGGCACACGTCTGTGGGTTCCCCATCTGGAAGCGCCTTGCCCGCAGGACATCCATGCAAACCTGAAGAGAAAGCAGTCTCTTCCTCATGAGCCACGGCGTTTCAATTATACGGAAACTCCAACAGTCGTCATCAGAGAGCCTGGGTGAGCTCACACAGCCTCAGCAGGTCACCCCGCCACTTCCCCTCAAGTTCTTCAGTTTGATAAGGCTATAAATTCAGCATTGGCGCAGAGGGTCAGGAACAGTCAATTTCAGGGGCTCTCTACATACAAACAGATTCTGCGATGCTGTGTGGGCTTTTGCATTGAATGATGTTGAATTCAGAGACATGACAGAACTTATTAAAGTGGATAAAGTGAAAATTGTAGCCTGTGATGGTAAAATTACTGGCTCCAATACTACAGACTGAATAGAAAAAAGTTGACTTTTTCAGGCCATCTTCTGTTATTATTCATCACTATTTGAAGAGAAGCAAAGAAGAAACTTTAAAAATTTATTCTAGCATTGCATAAATGACTACACTGTACTATCAGAGAATTTCAGCAAAAAGAAGCTTATAACTATTCTCTTACATTACCTTTATTATACAGCGTGAAGAAACATACCTTTTCTTTAATGACACATCAAAAATTTATGCCTTCTTAAGAACATTCTTTAATAAACTCATTTTAAAACTCAAAAAAGGGTGGGGGGGCTGCAGATGACACAGAGCAGGAATGTCATCAACACAGTGCCATCAGCGACATGCATGTGTTCCACAGGATGCTCAGGGCAGAAGCTGTGTGTCTGTTGTCCGTCCCTCAAGCCTTCCCGGAAGCTGTCTGCTAGCTCAGGGCCCACACAGCCCAGGGTGTGGCTGGGGCTGCCTGGGTGGGCACCCTGCACTGGGCTGCCCTCCCCTTCCTTTGCGTGCTGACACACTCAGGCACTCTGGGGGCTGGGGACCTCCACTCCATGCCCTGGAGCCTGAGAAATCAGGGCGGAGCACGTGGCTGCTGTCAGGAGGTTAAGGCCTCCTTCCAGGCCTGGCTCCTGGGCAGGGTCTCCCGCAGCTCCAGTAGAGGAGCCCTGCAGGGAGAGCAGGTCCTTTGCTGCCCCGAGCCCTTCCCCTGTCCCCACCCCTGATGGCACAGTCCTCTGCAAACCATCCATGCTGGCCCTAGCTGGGCTCCCCCTTCCTGTCGATCCCCTGCCTTCCAAGGTGCCTCTTGACTCTGCTGTGCGTATACCACCAGCTCATGCTCCACACGTGTACCTTCCTGCAGGGAGCAGAGTGACTTCTGCCAGGAGTGAGCACCTAGCAGACTGCATTTGCAGTTGTGAACATCCGTTTTTAATTCCTGATGAGTCTCTTGCTGCTGGGTGCAGTGGCACACCCGGGAGGAAGCAAGTTCAAGGCCAGTCTCAGCAACTCAGCAAGAAATAAAAAGGGCTGGGGATGTGGCTCACCCTGGGCTCAGTACCCCCCCCCCCCAAAAAAAAAAAAAAGAAAGTCAAAGGACTCAAACACTTTCTGGGGCTAGTTCTGAAGTGGTGATCTGATGGCAGCCTGGTTCCCCGGAGCTGCCAAGCCCATATTCTAGGCAGCTTCATAGGCTGGGGAGCGCAGCCCTGCCTTCAGAGTCCTGGAACGGGCCGTTCAGCTTGCGACTTCGGCTGCAGCTGCGCCCGGGCATGCGGTGGGTGGTGCTCTGGTGGCCTCTCGAGCGTCTCCTGGGCCTGTGTGTGTGCGTGGCTGTGAGGCCCGCGCTGACGGGGCCTCGTGTGCATACCCCCTCCACAGAATCACGATGGCCGTCCTGTCCAAGGAGTACGGTTTTGTGCTCCTGACTGGCGCTGCCAGCTTTGTCATGGTGCTTCACCTGGCCATCAACGTTGGCAAGGCCCGCAAGAAGTACAAGGTGGAGGTGAGTGGCCAGCCGGCGCTGGGGGTCCTTGGGACTCGCCTTCAGGCACAGGGGAAGGGGGGGCGGCCAGGGACAGCTGGGGGCTGTTTCAGGAGACCCAGCTCCTCAGTGTCAGGAGAGAGGCTGGAGCTGCTGGGAGGCAGTGCCCACTAGTACTGTTGGTCTTCTCTGCAGCAGGACCAGGGCGCAGGTGTGGCAGGGTGTTTCGCTGCAGCCGTGCTGGGCAGACTGTGTCTCCTGAACAGGGCTCCAGGCAGCACTGCGGGACCATGTCTCAAGGGACTGCCTGTTTCCCAAGGGGGAAGGGGGCCACTGTGCCCAGGCTCACTGTCTGGCACAGCAGGGGGTGTGTTAAACACCTCCTTTGGTTCCGGCTCATCTACAAGGGATAATGTCTGAAGTTGTCCCTGATGAGCAATTAGATGTCTGTCTCTGTTTATAGTTGGACTCCCTAATTGGAGCTTCTTTTAAATTTTCCATATCTAGTTTCTTCCATTTCCTCCAGTGGACATTGCATGAAAACTCTCACACTCAATCACACCTGTGTCCCCACTGGGGGAAATCTTAAAGATGTGGTGATGGATGATCTCGGAAGAAGCATCCCCAGGGCGTCTGTAACACCCGAGACCTACACTGATGCAGACACCCATGTGAAGCACGAGTCTGTTACGTGCCGCTCCTGTCCCCTGTCCCTGTGCAAGCTTAGCTCTGAGGTGCACTCCTGGAGGGTTAATAGACACATGGAATGTACTTCCGAGATTGGGACTCTGTTGCTGAGAATAGTTAAGTAGAAATCCAGTGGTCGTCCATCAGTAGGTGATGATTAGGAGGCATTATTTTTAAGTTGATCTTAACTCTCAGAACTTCACCTCCCCGTGGCCATGTGTGTTTTTCCCCACAGTACCCTGTCATGTACAGCACAGACCCTGAAAACGGGCACCTCTTCAACTGCATCCAGAGAGCCCACCAGAACACGTGAGTGTGGCCCTGCGGTGTGTCGGAGCCCGGGCAGGGTGGGCATCTGGGCCGGACACCTCCACCCTCAGAGCTTGGTATTTGCTGAGCGATAGCCATGACCATGGTCATGGGCACTGCATGCCCAGTACTGTTAAGAAATCGTGTGTGAATGGACTGGCCAGGAAGCAGAGTCCAGAGCTCTGCCAACAGCGAGGTTTCTGGAGTCTTTCCAGCAGCAGCTCTGCACCCGTCCACACAGAGCTTGGCCCTCCCTGGCCCAGACAGCGGGGAGAGGAGCCCACTCTGACCTGCAGACCTTCCTTCCGCCCATGTGTTCTGAGTCACCTCTGCTCCTATCCAGCACAGAAGAGGGTGGGGTCTGTGGCTGGGCCTCTCCCTCTTTCAGTGTTCATGTCTACTCTGATTTCTGACCTGCGAACAAGAATGGAAATGTCTCTTGGTTGTGTGTGGCATATTTACACAGGGCATTTTTTTTAAGAGAGAGAGAGAATTTTTTAATATTTATTTTTTAGTTTTAAGTGGACACAACATCTTTATTTTATTTTTATGTGGTGCTGAGGATCGAACCCAGAGCCCTGCACATGCCAGGCAAGCGCGCTGCCACTGAGCCACATCCCCAGCCCCACACAGGGCAATTTTTAAAAGTTATCTCTGTGTCTTCCAGGTTGGAAATGTACCCTCCCTTCCTGTTTTTTCTAGCAGTTGGAGGTGTCTACCACCCGGTAAGTTTCACGGACTTGGGTTTAGCCTCCTTTGCTTCCTTCCCTGGATGAGTCTCAGTGCCCAGGCACCATGCACTTAAAAGAAATTCAACTATTTCTTAAAAGTTCTTTAAAGTACATGGTCTTTCCCCCATTTTTATAGATAGGGAAAAGACTCTTGGACACTATTTAACTTTTATGAGCTCAGCCACCAAATAGAAGAATAAGACTTTGAACTCAAGCCTGATTCTAGGAGGTCTGCGAGCGTGAGCGTTTCCACGTCCACGTTCACCCATGCCCACAGCGAGTTGCCCACCACCCAGGGTATGGCGGTGAAGGACACAGAGCCAGTCTCACTGGGGTGTAGGCAGCCTAAGTGGATTACCTGGCATGCTAGAAGGTGCTAAAAGGTGGTGGTTAGTGCACAGAGCCAAAGCAGGGAGGTAAGAGGGAGCATGGCGGGCTGTCCTGAACAGGCGGTCAGGAAGGAGGGTCTTGCAGAGGTGGCCATGGTGAAGCAGAGCTCAGTGAGGGAGCGGACTCCGTCTTCTCCAGGGTGAGACCAAGGCTGTTCCCCAGGCTGAGCCTGCTTGTGCCCTTTGGGGAGCTGCATGAGGCCCCTGGAGCAGGGAGAGGAGCAGGGATTGGCGGCAGAGCCGCGGTGAGAGCGGACACCGCCGTGGAGGCCTCCACGGCAGCCTGGGCCACACCCCTGCCTCCAGAAGTTGACGTAAACCCAGTTAGTTGCCATTTGGGCTTTGCCTTCCAGGGGTCAGTTTCTCTGAGCTGCGGCCCCACATCCTGGTTCCAGGCCCTCCTAGCCCTCCATCTGGGAACGGCCTGGTTGTCCACGGGTTGCCAGAGGCACTGCTGCAGTGCGTGAGCGGAGGGCCTGTTGTTTCTTATTTTTAAAAGAAACATTAGCTGCTCTTGTGTCTCTTAGGGAGGGTGTGTCTTTCTGGTCCCCATTCCTAGGAAGCAGCTGGACTGGCCGTCTGGACAGCCCTGTCTCTCCAGCCTGACCTCACCTGGTGTCCCCTCGGCCCATCCCTGTTCCACGTCCCTAAATCCCACTCCTAGTGCTCAGTTCTTAAGGACGCTCCTAGAGCTGCTCCCCGCACAGCGTCGACCTTGTGACGACCCTGTTTGCCATCATGGAGGTTCCAGTGAGGCCTGGCCCGGTAGAGGCTGACAGCCTGCGGGCACTGACCTGGGAGGCTGGGCCTTTATCGCAGTGTCCATCCTCCTGCTGATTTTTGACTCTGTCCAAAACCACTCCAACTAACCATGACCCTGACATCATAGGCTGCCACACGGACGGTGCTGGCTGCCAGTCGGAAGGTGCTGAGCGTCTGCCCACACCCTGGGCCCCCTTCTGGTCGGCACCAGATGGAAGGTCCTCCTCGTGCATGGTTTTCTCCCTCCTCCAGGGCACTGGGGGCACGAAGGCCTTCCCTGCAGGGCCCCTGTTCAGGTCATAACCCGAACCCTCTCCCCCTCTCCTGGGAGCCCCGCCCCTCGTGTGCTGCTGCTGTTTCCCCACGGCCCCCTTCCTGTGGTGGCGTCACTGGAGATGACACAGCACGCTGCAGGTGGAGTGCAGGGGACACTGGGGACCACGGGGCTGCCCTCTGGTCAGTCCCTCTCTGGCTCCCCTGGGCCTGCCTGTCCTCCCCTGAGCTGTGGCCCCAGGTTTCCAGGCTGGGATAGTGATTCCTTTGCAAAAGGCTGGTCCTCAGCTGCAGGCCATCAGCAGGTCACAGAAGAACTGAGGTCGCGGGGTGGGGGGATACCCTGGCCACCCAGAGTCATCACGGCCCAGTGCTTCTTGAGCACAAACCCTGACTCTGCTCTCTCGCAGCGGGTGGCTTCTGGCTTGGGCCTGGTCTGGATCATCGGACGAGTTCTCTATGCCTATGGCTACTACACGGGAGGTGAGTACCCGCAGCATCTGCGAGGAAACCGACTGTGGGGGTGAGGGTGGGGGCAGCCTGGGCATGGAACCCAGGACAGAGACAAGCTCTCTACAGTGCCACACCCCAGCCTTATCAGGACCCAAGAAAAGGGGAAGTAGCTGAGTGACTAAGGTGAAAGGCCTCTTCTAATTTTACTAAAATTTTTGAATCATTGGGGGACTGCTTTTTTTTTAAGCGGGGGTCTATGTTGTCTAGGCTGGTCTCAAGTGACCCTCCTGCCTTAGCCCCCTGAGTATCTGACACTAGAGTGCACACCACTGTGCTGGCTACAAACATCTGTGTGTGTGGTGCTGGGGATGGAACTCAGATCCTAGCACGTGCTAGGCAAGTGCTCTGCTACTAAGCTAATCCCCAGCCCCTTTGCAGTTGTATTCTGAAACAGGGCCTAAGTCATTCAGGCCAGCTTTCATCGTGATCCTTCTGCCTCAGACTTCCCAGTCCTGGGACTACGGGTGTGCATCACCATGTCTAGTGCTAAACTTACTTTTAATGATTTTCCATATGCCAGTTGCTATTTTGCATGTTATTTAACTTTATAGCAACTCTGTGTTTGACAGTATCTCATTCTGCAGAAGAAAAACTGAGGCTTAGAAAGAGTGGGACTGTGAGTCACCCAGCTGCTAAGCACAGACATAGGGTGACCGCAGAACCTGCCTCTGCTCTCACACTGCAGGAGGCAGGTGGCCCTCGGGGACCCAGGAGGATGTGGGCTGCACTTACTCTTTAAGAGGGAGATTCTCCCAGAGCCCTGGAGCACAGCTGCTTCCCTCCCGCCACTCTCCTGAGTCCCCTGGCTCCTCTTGCAGCATCTCACAGACCCACAGCCTGGGGCTGGCCGACCTCAGGCCAGGCTGTCCAGGGGATCGTCCCGGATGCCGTCACTGAGTGGCCTGTGGACATCCTGGAAACTCTCTTCTCTTCTTTTTCAGACCCCAGCAAGCGGAATCGCGGTGCAGTGGGCTCCTTCGCGCTCCTTGCCTTGATGGGCACCACCGTGTGCTCTGCGTTCCAGCATCTGGGCTGGGTTAGAGCTGGCTTGGGAGGGGGGTCCAAATACTGCCACTGAAGAGCTACAGGAACCTAAGGACTCATTCGTCTTGAGTGACTTACCTTCACTTCCAGTTACTTTTTTTTAATATAATAAAAACTTATCTGGCTTCGGCCTCAGACCTCAGCCTCCTGACTTGCCGTTTCTTCTTGAGCCTCTCAACAGGACCAGCCTGTGCTTCCTAGATGAGAAGGGCCCCAGGCATTGAGGATCCCCCTCCCCTGCCAGCAGACTCCTAAGCAGCTTGTAAAGCTGAGGAAAAGTCCGACCGTGGTAATGTTCATAGTCACGCACAGCAGTGAGAAAACAACGAACTCTCTCCCAGCTCCATTAGGACACGTGATCTCATCACTCTGCACTGATAATTAAAGTAAGGTCTTTAGAACCTCTGTTGAAGAGTGCTTCTAGAGCCTGGGGTTGTGTAGAGCACTCACCTAGCTCTGCGAGGCACTGGGTTCCATCCTCAGCACCACATAGAAATAAAGATAGATATTAAGCCAAACTGCAACTAAAAAATATTTTTAAAAAGAGTGCTTCTGTTTGCTCAAGAACAACTGAAGCAATAGACTAGATCTAAGGTGGGACTTAAGAGGGAGAATGTCACCTTACGTGCTGGAGTACAGAGACCTGACTGCATGGGTGCAGCTGACCTAGAGGACGCTGCGAGTGGGCAGAGTGTGACTACTGACCCGAGAACTCACGGGGCCACTGACAGGACACGGCCTCCAGACCCGCTGTCCGGCTCAGGCCACATTCCGAGTGTTGAGAACCTGTGAGGGCTCAGGGAGAGTGTGGACACAGGCCCGACGCTGGGGTCCACGAGATGTCCAGCCCACCGCCCCACTGCTTACGCTTTGGGGCCGAGTTGGTGACGGAGTGCTGTGGTCAGCCTTGGCCTGGTGACCACGTGGGGCCCTTACCACTCAATTAGGCGTTGGACCAGGTCAGTGTGTGCTCTAGTGTCAGTTCCTAAGAAATTTTCACCAGCGAAGAAAAAAATGAGTTTGCCACACTTGGATCTACCCTTTTTTACATTCAACGCTCCTGTGTATGGTGAATGGTAGGTGGGGTGGGGGTCCTCACTGGAAAAGGTGAGGCAGACAAGCCCGAGCTGCTCCTGCCTTGTACGAAGCGCACCTCGGGAGGCTGGAGAGCGCCCGCTGACGCCAGGCCTCGGCAGGGAGGCCAGAGAAGGTGTGTGTTTCCAAAGCACCCTCCTTGGTCCACCTTGGTCACGTTGGCTGTTGCAGAAAGGACGCAGATGGGGTTCCATAAGGAACAGAGCGCCCCCAGTGAAAGCTCTTCTAGGGAGCCCCGAGGCCTGGCAGAAACCAGCGGCAGAGGGCCGCAATAGGGAGCAGCCCTGTCTGCAAAGCCGTCCCTCACGTTACGGAAAAGACGACGGAAAAGACCCTGCGACCACCTGATCACCATCAGCAGGTGAGCTGTTGGCACCACACATTCCCAAGTCAACTTGCTTCTACAGGGAAACGCATTCTGAGCTTTGTAGATGGAAAAAAACCAACCACAGCAGTCTAGAAAAGCCTGATTAATCCCTACTACCTATGGGTAGCTGTGTGCCTGCGGACAAGTCGCTCAACTTCTCTGAGGTTCAGCGTGCCCGGCTCTAAGTTGGTATGCTAGTAATACTTCATGGCTACAATTCATTTTTCAATTTTTAAACTGAGAACTGAACCAGGAACATTTTACCACTGAGCTACATCCCCAGTCCTTTTTGAGACAGGGCCTCGCTAAGTTGCTCAGGCAGGCCTTGAACTTGCCACCCTTCTGCTGCAGCTGGGCTTGTGGCTGTGTGCACCGCGCCTGGCGCCTGGCTAGGACTAAACTTGAAGCCAGAACAGTAAGGCCTGCGCCCTTTGTAGTGGGAGAGGGAGGGTCATGTGACCAGGGGCTGGGCTCTAGCCCAGTCAGGCGTGGAAACACGGGAGCCACCTGCTGGCGAACTCAGCAAAAGCCAGCAGCCGTGCTTCCTGGGAGTGCTTTTTTTCTCTCTTTTTTGATTTTTTAAACTTATACATGACAGCGGGATGCATTACAATTCCTATTACACATATAGAGCACAGTGTTTCCTATCTTTGTATAAAGTATGCTCATGCCAATCCATGTCGTTATACACGTACTTTGGGTTTTTTGTTGTTTTTGCATTGCAATTCTCATTACACATATAGAACACAGTTTTTCATATCTCCTTGTATATAAAGTATGTGCACACTCAATGCGTGTCTTCACACATGTACTTTGGATACAGGATTGCCAAAGTGCCCACTTCCCTCTCACCTCTAAGGTGCCCTCCTCCTTCATCAGGACGGAGCCATCTCTGAGCTCAGCTCTCTTGAGCAACACTGTGCACTAGGACTTTCCAACATGATGGAAATAATTTGACCTGTGCACTGTCTAATAAACAGTGGCCACAGGTGGCTACTGAGGACTTGAAATGTGGCCAGAACAACTGACAATTTTTTTTTTTTTTGATACTAGAGATTAAACTCAGAGGCACTTTACCCATGAGCTACCTCCTCAGCTCTTTTTATTTTGAGGATCTAAGTGGCCCAGACTGGCCTCAAACTTGCAATCCTCCTGCCTCAGCCTCCCAAGTCACTAGGATCACAGGTGTGCACCACCACATCCAACTAACAAGGTGAATCTTTTATCTAGTCTAAATTTAAGTAGCTATATGTGGCTGGTGGCTACGTACTTGGAGAAAACAGCTCTGACACCAGCGGTCCTCAGCCTCTCAATTCACCTGGGAACATTTTAGGAACTCAGACTCCCAGATGAATTAAACTGCATCTTGGTGTGTTTAGAGCTCTCTGGGCAATTCTCACATGCAAAGCTGAGAACCACTGTTCTAAAGCACCATGTGGAGAACTCCGTGCTCCTTAGATCAGGTCCAGACCCACAGGCTGAGCCGGGACAGCAGAGTGCACATGCATGGGGAGGAGCCTGGGCTCAGGACGCCCTGAGCAGCACCAGGCAACGTGCAGGTTCCCTCTGGTCCCAGGACGGGGCAGCTCTCGCCTTCAGTACACTCTCAGTGTCCACAGGTCGCTGGGCTGGTGCCTTCAGCAAAGGGCACAGACCTCTCCTGCGACCTGGCGCTTCCTCCCGTGACGCACTTCACCCCACGTGCAGCACCGTGGGTGTCCCCACACTGTGTGGTTTATGGCTATGACAAGGAAACCACCTGGGCATGGCTGGCAGAGATGCAGGTCTGTGAGGTGCTGGGACCAAACCCAGGGCCCTGCACTGCTAGGCACACGCGGCGCCACTGCGCCGCACCCCAAGACACAGACAGTTTTCATGGGTTCAATCCACAGGTGTGAAGCCCATGAGTCTTCACTGGGTCGGAGGCTCGGCCCTGAGGGGCTGGCTGCACTGTCCTGGGCCTGTGCCGAGGCAGCTGTCCCGGAGGAGAGCGTGGCTGGGAGGCAGGAGAGGAAGTGGCCAGGTCCCCGGGTCCCCAGGAACACACCCCGTGACCCAGGACCTCTACCAGCCCTATCAACTGAAGTCCTGTGGCTTCCCTGGGGACCCCGTCTGTAACACACGCCCTCTGGGGGATGTTCCACATCCCAGCCCTGGAGTCTCCGAGAGGCTCCGGAGGGAGGGCAGCCCCACCAACTCCTTGGTTTCCAGCAAGTGAGACCATTCTGAACTGACCGCTGGAGCTGAAAGCTGACACACGGTGTTGCTTGAAGCCACTGCGTGTGTGGTAGCTTGTCACGGCAGACACGGGAACCAGGGAGGGAGCCCACACCTGGCCTGCACCCATGCTCACTTAGGGCCCACCTGGGACCAAGACTTCTCTGACGGTTTCTCCTCCTCAAGGTCAGGCGTGGGCCTGTGCTGGCTGAGTGTGTTAAACAGAAGGGGCAGCAGCAAGCACCCAGGGCGCTCAAACCTTGGCCCCCACCCCACTGTTTCTCCGTGGGACCATCAGGAACATGTACCTTCCCGGGGGGGCCCTATTGCCTACGTTGAACAAGCATTCCAAGACACGGTGGGGGACCTCCGTGGCCTGGCAGGGTGTCCCGTGTGACCTCGGTGCAAACAGGACACGGTCAGGTCCACCCCAGTGACGAGGACCTTTCCTTATCTCCGTCCCTATCTGTGACGCTATGCAGGCTGTCACTCATTACCCGTCTGGAAACAGAGAAGGGGGCAGGGAAGACGTGGCTGGAAGATGTCTCTCTCCAGGACATCTCTGCTCATGGGCGGCAGGGACGGATGGACTCACAGCGTGGGAGTGCCTCGCAGCAGCTCCATCTGCCCCTGCGCTTCCCAAGAGCAGACCCCCGAGCCCTCTGCCTGAGCCCGGTGTCCCAGCGTCCCAGCGTCCCCAGGGTGGGGTGGCGTCCAAAGCAAAGCACAAGGACCAACAGCAGATGCACTTTATTTCACTGTCGTGCTCCCGCCCACAAAGAGGGAGTGGAACCCCGCCCCCAAGCTACCAGCCAGAGTCGGGTCCCCCCATCAGCAGCTTCCTGGCTGGAATGACGGGATGAGACCAAAACCCTGAACACCAGGTGTCGCCTCTGCTGACCCCCCTGGGAGCCGCCAGAGCTTGTTCTCCAGGCCAGAGGACCCACATGCTCGCGGGTGGAGCTCGGGGCCTCCCGGTCCCTCTGCCTGCTCTCTGGAAGTGTGCTGCTGGCTTTGAAGATTTCACAGAAATTTTCATTGAGGAAGATCAAAACCGTCTGGATTCGTGACTAAGTGGCACTTGCAACACATTTTCAATTAGGAAGGTAACTGAAAGGTGAAGAATAAGGCACAACCATTCCCTGACCCTCAATGGCCCCAAGTCTGGACCTGGAATGGGTTCAGAAGGCTGGGCACACTCGTGGCAGAATGCCCACCCTGGCTGGGGAGGACCTGGTTCCAACCCCAGCGCTGCCTTGTCCAGAGAGCCCCGCCCGCGGACAGCCTCATTGTGGCTGTTCAAAACACAGTTTCCACATCGCCCATCTCCACGTACACGGTCTTGAGCTGTGAATAATACTCAATTGTCACCCGGCCGTTCTCTCTGCCGAACCCTGAGGAAGAGAAAGGGCCAGGATGAGCCAGCAGGCGACTGTCTGAAGGGCCCCCGCTGCCCAGAGCCAGGACTCGGGATTTGAAGCCTGGGGCTGACGTCCTCAACCCACGGAGCAGCCTTGGCTCTGGGACAGGAGGCAGGTCCACGGGTCTTTGGGGGTAAGGACAGGAAAATGCACAGGTCTGTTTCTCACCAAAAAGAATCTTAATGCTGGGTGCCTACTACGCTGGGTGAAAGTCCAAAAATGTTCAGGTTTTTTATTAAGAAAACCTGCTAAAAATGTTAAAGCAGTCTCCACAACAATCAACCTGTTGTCTCAAAAGGTACTAATTTAAAACTTAACTCCATATAGCAGGTTTGTCGGCCTCTCGCAAGCCTCTCTAAGAGAACCCGCTGTCTGCACCCTGCCTGCTCCACGGGGAAGGGCCTGCTGCTGATTCCTCTGAGGACTCGGACTCGAAGACACCGCCCCGTCCCTCAGGATCAGGTCACTGTGTTCAGAGGACAGTACCCCATGCCCTAGATGGACAGGCAAGGACCAGGTCCCCCCAAAACCACATGCTTCCACGAGTGTCATTCACAGGATGCCACACACAAAGGTTCTGGCAAGTCCCAGCTATCCTGCGTCCCCCATGTCCTTGGAGCACATGGCTGGTGGGACCAGCACTGCTCGGCAGACCCTGCTACCTCCTCTCTCCCTCAGGCATGCCTGGGACAAAGAAAGCAAACCCCGGCCTGGACCCCAGGGGCCTAAGTGGCAGAGCCCGTGCAGATGTCCCGCACTGAGGTCCTGCATTCCTGGAACAGCACTTGGCTCCTGCTTGCCCTGGCAGCTGGTGTTCAGACCTTCTGCTGTTCCTCGAGGACCACAGGGACGGGGAGCACCATCCGGGAAAGCACCAACAAGAGTCAGGCCCACACCCAGCTGAGCAGAGTTCGCGGGTCGCACGTTCACCAACGCCGTGGTGGCCGTGAACGCTGCCAGAAACCAGGGCTCAGGCTCTTAGAGTGGCGCCTGGGCAAAACCCAAGCCCATTTCAGTCTAAATGAAGAGCAGTGTGGGAATCAGTAATGTTTACAGGCAACAATTGCCAAAAGAAAGAAGCTCTAAGAAACGGCTACACTCCTGCAGCCTCAAACCCATGACCCTGAGACCTCGGCATCTCAGGCGTAGGAGCCAGTCCACAGCCACGGAGCGGGACGAGAGTCACCATGCCTGACTGCTGAATGGCCAGGGGAGAGGCTTTTGTAAACTTCCCGGGGTTTATTTCAGAGGCACTTGGCCTGAACCCACAGTGGGCAGAGCTGGTCAGGTAGCCCTGGAGGAGGGTTTAGCAATCGCAGACCACAAAGAAAAAGAAACTCTGCCCCGACGGCAAGCCTTTCCGGGAGGTGCACAGCAGTCCGCCAGCCAGCTGCACAGCAGAGCCTCCTGGAGACGCCTGGCCTCCAGAGACGCGGTGCGCTGGGAGGGCCAGGAGCCTCCCTCCTGCCTCGCGATCCGCTCTCACGAGGCTGAGGAGCCCCGGTCTGCAGAGGGGACGATGGCCCGCCTGAGCCAGTGCTCTGCACTCGCCAGCACCCACCTGACTTCTTGTAGCCCCCGAAGGGCAGCTCCACCGGGCTGACGTTGTAGTTGTTTATGAAGCAGGTCCCCGCCTGAAGCTCAGCCGCCACTCTGTGAGCCCGCTGGATGTCCCTACCAAGAAGAAGTGCTGGTCACTACAGTGTCCTGTGCCACGACTTTACAGGAAAAGTCAGGCTGCTGGTTCTAAGGGCCCTAACGACTTGCCAAATTTTTCTTTTTTCAAAATGTTTTAAAAACTTTTATCAACAAGGCAAAACAGGCAGAAATTAAGAAATTATAGTTTCATCCCAAAGACATCCACAAAGTAAACAGCAACAGGGCTGTCAGAGGAGCTCCATGAGAAAACCGTCTTCAACAAATGGCGCAGGAACTAGAGAGCCGCGAGCAGCACTCACACACAGGGGCTCGGGCACAGGTCACAGACCTGACATCGGAGCAAACCCGGGAATAAACCTGCATGACCGTGGGGCCCCCAAAGCCGCATGAATTGACACCAAGTTACAGACAAAATTGACTTTGTCAAAATAAAGATTTGTGCTGTAATAAGACTAACAAGAGTGTGAAAAGAGGGGCTGGGTTGTGGCTCAGCGGTGGAGAGCTCGCCTAGCACGTGCGAGGCCCTGGGTTCGATCCTCAGCACCACCTAAAAATAAGTAAAACAAAGGGATTGTGTCCAACTGCAACAAAAAATGAATTTTTTTTAAAAAAAAGAAAGCGAAAAGAAAACCCACAGATATGCAAATCAAAACCACCAGACAGCTCTCCACACCGCGGTCGGTGAACTCAGGACAGACAACCAGGGCTGATGGTGTACAGAGCTGGGACCTCCGTGCACCCTCAGGGGAACGTAAAATGGTGCCTTCCCTCTGGAAAACAGGTTGGCTGTTCCTCAGAGAGCGGAAGGTGAAGTTAGCAGTGACGGGCACTTTCCCTGCCAGGCGCACAGCCAAGAGAATGCACGTGCCCGCCCCAGCCAAGACGTGAGCAGCAGCACTTGCTAACAGCCCACGGCTGTCACGGGAGTGGACGGGCTGTGCGAGCTCGAGGAGCAGCAGCAGAAACAGCCCAACGACCGTCAACAAACGAATACGCCAAAGGTGGCGGATCAGTACAATGGAATATCGTTCAGGAGGGGAGGGGAGCAGCCAGCCCGTATCAACACGCTTCATCACCCGTGAAGCTTCGAACATTGAAGAGCGGAAGAAGCCCGTCCCAAAAGACACACGTCCCATGAGCCCATTTACACGGAATGTTTTCAGAACAGGCAAATCCACAGGACAGAAAGTGGATCAGCGTCCCCGGGGTCTGGGGAGGACCTGGGGGGCGACTTCGAACCGGCAGACAGCTCCTCCTGGGATGAAGACCACTGGGTGGTCGCACACGGCCGAGGGCACTGGGAGCCCTGTGCAAGGCCGCAGAGCAGCAGCAGGCGGGGCCGGGCCTGCCCAGAGCTCAAGGGTCACTACTTTGTGGGCCAAAAGGGAGCCTGGATTTCCTTCTAGGCTCTGCCCACGAAGCCACCAAATGCTGAGCGCAGGTGTCAACAGACAAGCAGCCCCTGTGTAAAGCAGCCTCAGAAAATGGCCTTCCTACCGCCAAGGACCAATCAGATTCCCGTGTGTCACAGAAACCCGCAGGAGTCTTCACAGACCCCTGGCTCCCAATCTCCCTACCTCAACCACTGGGGCTGGACTTCGTACAGATATCAGTCACACGATCCCTCACGGTGGTCACATGAAGAGCAGCCCAGGAACCCACAGCACAGAGACCCCACGGGAGCTCCGGTGAGCTCCAGTTAGGAACTGCCAAGACACCAGAGACCGTGATCCTGAGGGCTACCGACCAGCAGTCACAGGCACACGGGCATTTAAATTCCTTTACAGGTATGTTTTCAAAAGCCACCTAAGTGAATGCTTTACACAGATCAGAACCCTAAAGGCCTTATTCAATGACAGACCAAAGAGGACAGAATTTTCATCAACAAAGTCTAGAACTCAATTCACACCTGACAGCAGGGTCGCGGGCCTTCACAGCAAACCACTCAACACTGCTTTGGCATCTTGAGATTTAAACTGAAGCAAACAGAAAGTGCTGCCCGGTGAGGGCAGCGGGCAGCGACAGATTTAAGCAGGCTGCAGCCCCCCCCTCCCCCTAAACCCCTCCCCCCTGTCTGGGCGTCCTGCACACACCTCGTGAAGACGCCAGCTGCCAGTCCAAAGGTGGTGTCATTGGCTCGTTCCAGAACCTCGGCTTCAGTGTCGAAGGGCAGGATGGACATGACGGGTCCGAAGATCTCTTCCCTCACACAGGTCATGTCGTCTCGGCAATCAGCTGCAGACATTCACAACAAAGCCCGCGTCACCAGAGCCAGCGTCCACGGTCAACAGGAGGACACTCAGCGTGCACTGCCAGTGGACACAAACTGCAGCACCCTTTCCACCTGGCAACGTCACAGGACTCACCACGGACTGGCAGCCAGGTGTAATCCTCGGTCCACATTCTGTCACTCACCATAAGGACATGGCTAAGGAGGACGGGGCCCAGGCAAAGCCGACAATGCTAGCGACCCGGGAGGCTGAGGCAGGAAAGTTCAAGGCCAGCCTCAGAAACTTAGCAAGAACCTGTATCTAAGTGAAAAATAAAAAGTCGTAGACCAACTCTGGGTTCAATCCCCAGTGCCAAAAAAAAAAACAGGAAGCAAGAAACTAAGCATCTAAAATAGAGGAAATGATCCTAATGATTAAAAAAAAAAGAACTTCACAAAATTTTTTTGGTTCTGGATTTGGTTTTTTTTGGTACTGGGGACTTAACCCAGGGGCACTGAACCACTGAGCCACAACTCCAGTCCTTTTTTTTTCTTTTGAAACAGGGTCTCACCAAATTGCAAAGTTGCTCAGGTTGGCCTCAAACTTTGAATCCTCCTGCTTCAGCCTTTCAAATCCCTGGGACGATGGGTGTGCACCACCCCTCCCAGAACACTTTTATGAAGCTTCTAAAAGCAAAGTATTTTTTGTTTTTGTGATGCTGGAGAGTGGGCACACAGTTGGGCCTTGCACACACTAGGCACTACCCCTGAGCTACAGTCCCAGCCCTAAAAGCAAAGTCTCTGAAGAAAACTTAGTTGAGTAATGTCATGATAAAACACTCACTAAAAATGATATAAAACTGTATACAGTATCATCCAAATTTCTCTTAAAATGTTACACATAGTTGGGTGTAGTAGCTGGCACACACCTAGCTAAAAGGAGGGGAGTTAGGAGGATCACAAATTCAAGTCCAGTCTCAGCAACTTAGTGAGGCCCTAAATAATTTAGTGAGGTTCTGTTTTAAAATAAAAACTGAAGGGCTGGGGATGTGGCTGAAGCAGTAGCACGCTCGCCTGGCATGCACGGGGTGCTGGGTTCGATCCTCAGCACCACATAAAAATAAAATAGTGATGTTGTGTCCACCGAAAACTAAAAATAAATAAATAAATAAAAACTAAAAAGCGCTGGGGATGTAACTCAGTGGTAAAGTGTCCCTAGGTCAGTCTCTAACACCAAAAATAAATTAATAACTATATACATAAAAGGTTATATATTTTTTCACATCTTCTTAATGACTGTGATATAATCAGAATTTAAAACAATGTCATCAAAATCCAATATAAAAATATAAACTAGAAATAAATAATTGAGGAGGTGTTCACTTTACACAAAAATGCATTTAAGATCCTTTATGTGGCCCAGCACAGTGGCATTCACCTGGAATCCCAGTGACTTGGAAATCTGAGATAGGAAAACTGCAAGTTTGAGGTCAGCCTCAGCAACTGCAGAGGTTCTGTTTCAAAAAAAGAGGGCTGGGGGATGTGGCTCAGTGGTTAAACGCCCGTGGGTTCAATTGCCAGGACCATTAAAAAAAAAAAAAAAAAAGAAGCTTTACACAGCTAATTCCCTAAAGAGACCTGACTCACACTGGACATCTAAAATACGCACATATAAAGAAGTTCCTGTATCCGGATGTCCACTACTAAACCTGAACCCTGAGACTCAGGGGCAGGGCGCTCTCCCGCACTCACCTGCGACCGGCCCACCTGGCATAACCACCAGAGCGAGAACTACTGGCTGAAAGGCTGTGATATATGCAAAAAGGGCTCAGGGCAAACAGAGCTAGGGGGCCGCCTGGAAACACCAGCTTTCAGTCCCCAGGCCGCTGTCCACAGATCTGCAAAGACGGCCATCCCACAGCCTCTCAAGAGACAGGCTGGACCCTTACACAGTACACTGGACACCTGAAAGTCACTCTGTACTCTGGGGACACCTGAACTATCCTCAAAGACACACGGCAAACACGGAGTCTGTATTTAAGGATAGTTTGTTAGGTTCTAACTCTTCAAAAACTAGTGATCTGTTTACCATTGTTAGGAAAACCATTAGCCAGGATAGCTAAGTACTCAACACAGTTAATTTATTACTCAATAGTCCCCAAAGATATTTTACCACCTTATACAGCCTGACGACACAGCAGGGCGGTGGGCAGCGAGCTCTGTACTGGGAATCAAGAAAGAGGGTATGAAAAGGAGCTGCTGACAAGTAAGGTCTGGAGAGGCTTCTGCCGGAAACCTGTCACTCACCACGTGTCAGTCCCTCCACCCCTGGGGGGGAATTGAAAGAGTGAGGCTCTGGAATGAGCCATTCCCAAGGTCTGACGTACATAAACATGAGTGTGGGTCTATTAAAGGCAGACTCTAATTACCCTAAGTACATGTATGATGACATGAATGGTGTGAAACTACTTTGTGTACAACCAGTGACTTGAAAAATTGTGCTCAATATGTGAAATATGAATTGCATTCTGCCATCATGTATAACAAATCAGAATAAATGAATAATTTTTAAAAATCAGTATGGATTATGCAATACCTGGATCCAATGCCCCAGAAATCATTTATTCCAAATGACTTAACTGCAAATTGTCCCCACAATCTCTGCCTTTTTAAATTTACTCAGGTAGATTTAACATAGTACACTTTGATAATCTAATAAATGACTCTAGGCCCCATTGCAAAAAAAAAAAAACAATGCAGATTCTAGGCCTCAGCCCGAGAGTGACATTTAGGGGTCCACAGCAAGAAACTGAAATCTGCTTTTTCAACGAGTTGTCCAAGTGACATTGATGCAGCAAACACAAGCAGGCTTTCAGAGTCACTGGATAAGATCAAGAGCTTCCAGCTCCCTGCTTAGGGGCACAGCCTGTTTACTTTTGTTCTAATTGGAAAATATACGTTCTGCATAAAATATTCAGAAATGCACATTAAACAACCCAAATCACCTTTAATCCCAGCATGCAGAGAAATCAGTGTACCACTGATACAGTGGTATGCACCGTCCACTCCTTCTTTTGCCTCGGTAGACATTTTGCTTTTAACAGATTTGGGATAATCCCATGCACACTACTATGGAACCTACACTTGTTATTTAATAGTGTCCAAGGTTTTCCTATTTGCTATTCACTTTCTAATGCAAGCTGATCCATGATATGGATGCAAGGTTCACAGCTTTTAAACATTAGTGATTCCGCCTATAGTAATAGTTAAAGGTTAAGCCACATCAAACATCAAGTATTAAAAACTGACACCACAGTCAACCTCGGGAATCAGCTTAGTTTATCAGATAAAGTGTAAGGAATTATACGACATGACTCAACCTCTATAGAATTTTCTAAAGCCTAAACTTCATTTTCATAGGAGATCCTAACATACTGTAAATGATAGAGACTGGTAGGAGCAGCGTTTAGAATAGAGCTCCCTCTGCGGCAGGAGGAAAGAAGGGGTTTCAGCAGGATGACCATATGGACTGGACAGTCAGGCCAAGAGGTTTTTAAGATTAAAAGGAGGTGCTAATATTATTAAAGTTACATATTTTTTAAAAGATTAACACACCATCTGACATATTGGTTTCATTCACTGATGCTCTAAATTCAAATACTACACAGTCTTCACTGAGGAAGTGAACTCACGGCCTAATTTTTCATCAAACATGCACTTCCGTTTTGTTTCTCCCTTTCACCTTTTTGGACTCTGTATTTGCAGAACAGCAGGTGCCGTCCCAGGCAAACCAGGCGGAGGCTCCCCTGAGACCCCAGAGGGCTTGGCGGCAGCGCAGGGATCCGCTCCTGCCCGGGGGGAGATACATGGCTTGCCAGCTCCTGCTCCACACCAGACACACAGCTTACAAATATGAGTTTCTCTCCATTCACTGTCTAAGTCAGACCATGTAAAAGCAAACGAGAAGACGTACTTAACACACAAGGTCTCATGTAATATCCATCTTTCAGTTTGGGATCCTGGGGTACATACGGATCTCCGCCACACAACACTCTGGCACCCTGCCCAAGGAGAGAAGAAAGCACCTGGGTCATCCACAGGCACCCCTGGAGGCCGAAGCCACCCCCCACCAAGGAGCAGACGCAGCCAGCACCCCACCCCATCCCACGCCCCGCCCCGCAGTGCCACACTGCTCAGGACACCCAGCCCCTCGCCCACCAGCCTCCTCACTGTCACCTGCTGCTTTGCCGACTTAACAAACCCCAGGACCCGCTCCAGGTGTGGCCGGTTGATGAGCGGGCCCATCCTCGTATCTTCCAGAAGGGGATCTCCGATTTTTATCTTCTGAGTCTGTTCCACCACTTCTTCCGTGAATTTATCAAGAATCGCCCTTTGCACAAACACTCTTGTGCCATTGCAGCAAACCTAAGGGACAGGTGTAAGACAAAACGTGCGTAAGGGGGAAGGGCGAGCAAAAACCCCACAGCTTTAAACTTATTTTGAGGCACAACAAGTTTTTTAAAGGATATTTTCAACTCTAAAAATTGTCCCTGTGCTGAATAAGGACGGTATGTGTGACTGTGCTCACACCACTCTGCAAACACGAGTTTATTTCTATTCCGTTCATCTGAATTTCCTAAGTCCACTGCAGTCGTGCCCATGAGGCCTGCACCTCCTGCATTCTTCTCATGTGCAACCTGGCTGTGCATCTCAAGGAGGAGGGGACCAGGTGGCTTGGGAGGCTGAGGCAGGAGGATCACGAGTTCAAAGCCAGCCTCATCAACTTTGCGAGGCCCTGCCTCTAAAAACAGGGGAGAAGGGATATGGCTCAGTAGTTAAGCACCCCTGGGTTCAAGCCCCAGTATCAAAAAAAGGGTGGGGTGGGGAGGATTGGCCAGTTAAGGAAGAACGAACAAACGAACGAATAAAATCACCAAGTATTAGTAAGGATGTAGAGAAACTGAAAAGGGGGCCCTGCTGGCGGGAACACGGGCTGGTACAGCCGCTGTGGAAAACGGGAGGGAGGTCCTTCAGGAACGACCACACGACACGTGACTCCTCCTCTGGATTCACATCTGAGACTGAAGGCAGGGACCTCTACAGATTGGACATGCGCACATCAGTGCTTCCTCACAACAGCCAGGAGATGGAAACGACCCATGTCCCTCAGTCCAAGGCTGGAGGGACAACCTGGCGGAATACTATTTAGCCTGTTAAAGGGGAAGAAGTTCTGATACACAGTGCCACACAGAGGAACCCTGGAGACACTTAGGTGAAACAAGCCACAAGTAAAAGAAGACATACTGTACAGTCCCGTCTGTAGGGACCTGGAACAGCCAGGTCACAGAGCAGCAACCAGGGAACAGAGTTGTTACCTAATGATTTCAGAATTTCCGTGTGGAGGGATGAGTCAGCTCTGGAGATGGATGGGTGACAGCGCTAACTGCATACAACATACATGTGCTCAATGACGCCGCTTACTCGAGAATGGTCCCAGTGGCAAACTCTGTTTTTTGTTGTTGTTGTTGTTGTTTTTAGTTATACATGGGCACAATATCTTTATTTTGTTTATTTATTTTTATGTGGTGCTGAGGATCGAACCCAGGGTCTCACACGTGAGAGGCGAGTGCTCTACCACTGAGCCACAACCCCAGAGCCTCTGTTATGTTTCACTGAAAAAAATAACAGGGTGTAAGGCACTCACACGACCGCCCAGATAACCAAACCGCCCTGATTAGAAAGGGAGCAAAGGGCCTGAACAGACATGTCTCCAAAGACATAAACTGACGCACGGGCAGGTATGTGAAAGGTGCTCGCAGCCCTAGCTGCTGGGAAAAAGCAAATCTAAATCTCAGTGCCCTCGCCTGGCGCCTGTCGGGACGGCCACCGTCAGGAAGACAGAAGACAGGAGCGTGTTCAGGGAYGTGGAGGAGGGGAGCCCCGCCCTCTCTCGGGGACGTGACTTAGTGAGCCACTGTGGAAACAGTGTGGAGGCTCCTCCAAAACCTGCAGCACAGCCACGCGATGCCCCGTGAGAACGTCCAAGAGCAAAGAGCTCGGCAGCCACAGAGCGCGGCGGGCACCAAGACAAAGACACCGTGGAGCAGGACACGGGGTGAAGCCAAGTCCTCGACCGTGATGCCCAGTGGAGGGCGAGCTGCGCCTGCAGAGGGGCTGGCAAGGGGAGGCCCGCGGAGGGAAACCCCTCACCAGGTGTCAGCGAGAATCAGTGTTGGTGACAGGCTGCGAGAGCCTGACGAGGACAGGTGGCTCAAGATGTCCCCAGGAGGCCAGCTCCCTTGAGGCACAGGTGAGGCTTCAGTGAGGGCCGCCCTGAGCGCAGGCTCAGGGCCAGACCACGTCACACACCATGCTCCACATCACACACTGTGCTCCACGTCACACACCGTGCTCCACGTCACACACCGTGCTCCACGTCACACACGGTGCTATCCCCACCCTAAGGGCACAAACTGACGCGAAGCCGATCAACAAGAACGTCAGACCACCCCAAGGGAGGGACCTCTACAGAACAAACGTCCAGGTCCCCAAAGATGGTCACCTGAGGAGCTACTCCAGCAAAAGGAGATGAGACAGACGGCCGTGATCACTGCGAGTCACACAGAGGTCAACAGCTGTCACGCCCAGGTCTTGTACAATTTTAAAAAACAGTGGTAACTTGGAAGGAGGAAAAAGAAAAGCAGTCAACTGAATGCAGCACCATGTCTGAACCTCGAATGAGAAAATTTTTTTCTTTTGCTAAGAGCACATCGATCAAACGAATGGCAAAATTCTACTGATAATACACGTTAGTCCACCCTGTAGGGTGGATCTTCTGATTTTACCAGGTGTGCTGTGCTTGTATGAAATAAGGCACTTGTTCTTAGGAACACTGAGGGGCGTGGAGCTTTGGGGCCAGGGCCCACGACTCCCTCTCAAGTAGTTGGAGAAACTTAGTAAGTACGCGGAGGCGCACACCCACGAGGAGCCATGAAGTCAGAGTTGACACTTCAGCGGCTCATGGGAGTCTCCGTATTGTGCAGGCAACTCTCTTGTCTCAAACGTCTTCAGGAGGAAGTAGGAGATGCTGCAGACGGAGCGGCCCCCCAGCCTCCTCCAGTGACTACTACGCACCTGGCCTTGAGTGAGGAAGTTGGCCATCATCGCCCCCCTCACGGCATTCTCCAAGTCGCAGTCGGAGAAGATGATGAGTGGAGATTTGCCCCCGAGTTCCAAGGTCACAGGTTTGACCCCTTTAGCTGACAGTTCCATGATCTTGGAAGAGAAAGACAGAGCATTCGGAAGGAGGGCTCCAATCAGACTGCACTCCACAGAGCTCAGCCTGAATCAACAAGCCGCCTGACTACCAAGCCGCAGCCTCTTTCTCCTCGACAGACGGCGCCCTTGGCCTATTTACAATTTTCTTTTCCAGAGCCAGGTGTGATGGCATGTGCCTATAAGCCTAGCTGAGGCAGGAGGATTACAAATTTGAGGCCAGCCTCAGCAACTTAGCAAGGTCCTGTCTCAAAATTATAAAAAGGGGTGGAGGTAGCTCCGTGGGAGAGTGCCCCTGGGTTCAACCCCCGTACTATAAAATACCTAGCTGATTAAAATATTCTCCTCCAGAAAACTGAAGAGAGTCCACGGAGGCCCCCTGAAACTCTGAGGGGCTTTCCCTGGGACCACTACAGTCAGAATGTTGATACTCAATACTCACCGTGTTGAGGCAGCAAGCCCAGAACGCAACTCAGGTCACAATGACAGATGTGAAACACCAGGGAAAACACCCTTCCTCTGTGGGAGGCACAAGGCCACCAGGCCTCCCCCGAGACACGTCACCTCCCCAGGCAGGAGCAGGGCCTGCACCCACCTGCCCAACCAGGACCCCACGCGAGCAAGCTCCCCTCCACGCTCCTACGGGGAACTCCAGAGCTTGGCCCCAAGGAACCCCCTGCCCCTTCCCACTGGTTAGGCAGAAGCCAAAGAGAGTCCCATACAGCCTGGGCAGGCCCTCTGGCCACGTCCAGAAGCCACCTCACCTTCACACCAGTGGGCACGCTTCCAGTGAAGGAGACCTTGGCCACATCGGTATGCTGACACAGAAACTGGCCCGTGGCGGCCCCTCCCTGCACCACATTGAAGAGCCCAGGAGGCACGCCGGCCTCCGCATAGATCTCAGCCAGGAGCACAGCGGAAACGGGCGTGAAGGGAGATGGTTTAAAGACCATAGCGTTACCTGTGTGAACCCAAAACACAAAGACCTGGTCTCTACGAAACCAGAATAATCCCAGTGTTTCCTGTCCCCCCTCAGATCCTACAATTGTTGTAATAGACGTACCTTGTCCATCATTTTGGCTTCTATCATTAAACACACCTGAAAACACACCTGCCCAGTCTCAAACACCTTACACCTGCACAGCTGGCGGTGCACGTAACGATCCCATTAACACCCTCGGCAGCACCAAGAGGTAGGTACGATTAGTCCCATTTTATAAAACTGATGCTGAAGACCTGCAGGGTTCACTTGCTAGAGTCCCCAGAGCTGCTGGCTTGATTCTGACACTCTTTCTCCTCCATCACACTGACTCTCAAAATAGGAGTATGGACTCCTGTAATCCCAGCAGCTTGGGAGGCTGAAGCAGGAGGATCGAAAGTTTAAGGCTCTAAGCAACTTAGCAAGACCAAGTCTCTAAAAAATAAATAAAAAGGGCTGGGGATGTGGCTCAGTAGTGGTTAAGTACACTAAAGAGAATCCACTAAAACAAAGAGCCCCCATGGCAACAGGACACGAGAAGCTCTCCAACGTGGCATCCTAACAGGTTTTTAACACTGGGTTTTTTAAGTTAAACAAACTTTTCTCCTACAGACTCTTATTTTTACACAGCACAAGGAAACTGCTTCTTCTTTTAGTCACTTGGCCACCTACTTGGCCACCGGAGTCCTTCCATCATTTCTCTCAAGACCCTTAAAGAAGGGGCTTTGCCTTCTACTCCCAACCCAAGTCACACTCCTGCTAGTGTCAGGAGCTGCCACATAAGAACCAAGTGCCCCTTAGCTCTAAGCAATGAGAGTGTGGAGATGTGGCAGCCAGCCATGGGCTGTGTGTGTGAACTATGAGCACTGAGCGCACAGGGTGGACTGAACCCACGCTGGCCCTCTGTTTGGGAGGGTGACATTAGTGTCTTTTATCTCGCTCTGCCTATGATCCCCACACAGCACATGAGATGGACGTGKCCTTCCTAGATGTCAGTCAACCTGCTGACAGCAGACATCAGAAGCTAGACTCAACCCCCTGAAACCTGACTCCTTGCCTCATCTGAATGGCTTCTCCCCAATAAAAGGGTTCAGCACCTGCTCCTCACTCTCCTTATTGCTTGCCTTGCCCCCTTGTGGGAGCTGCAGCTGAGGAGCAGTCACTGAACCCAAAGAAAAGGTACTTTCTGTGTTTTTATTTAGTCCCCAAATTCACTTGGAGTGACCCTGACCAGTCTAGTTGTGTGATGCGACATGCTAGAAATTCTTATCCAGAAAAGACAAATCTAATTCGATTGAAGAACAAAAATTAGGTTTCTTTCTTCCATATACAAAAATTAGCTGGGCAAATAAAAAGTGGGACCCCGTAGATGTGATCCAGTGTGGGACCTGAACATCAGCTCCCTGGGGGCCAGGCAGGGCAGGTGGGGACACGTCCTCTGAGGCCGCTGTGCTCTGAATTGTGCGAATGTGGAGAGGTGAGGGGAGAGGAAGGACGGGGAGAATGGACGCTCCTAGAACAGGAACAAGTGCCTCTTACCGCAGGCCAAAGCAGGAGCAGACTTCCAACAGGCGATCTGAAAGGGGTAGTTCCAGGCTCCTATCCCCACACATACGCCAAGTGGCTCTCTTCTGGTGTAACCAAAGGATCCTCCTGGGAGCTGGACGTGTTCACCTAAGGGGAAGGCAGAGGTCAGAGAGGAAAGCAGGCCGTGCTCCCAAGCTTCTCCCACAGCACCCCAGGGCCTGGTCGGCCCACACTCCAGGCAGGCCAGCCTCCTCCTGCCCCAAGACACTGCTCACCGTGCCCACTCTTTCTCTCTGTTTTTTTGTTGTTGTTGGGGGTGGGGGGAGTTGGACCCAGGGCCTGGCACATGCTGGGTAGTGCTCTACCACTGAGCTACAGGACGGGTTTTTTATAAAATTTTATTTTAAGACAGGGTCTCACCAAGTTGCCTAGGCTGGCATCAAGCTCACAACATGCACTCATCCGACTTAATCCTCTCAAAATTCCTCTACCAAGATAACTTGATGAAATAAAATGGTAATGTGGAGAAGCTTGGAATAGGGGAGAGCCTGAGGACCCAAAAACCTCAGGCTGTGGCTCCCCATGCTCAGGTGGGCTTACCAACTGCCCAATATGAATTGTTGCCAACTTCATAACTTGTCAAAGAGTTTTTTGCTCAACAGGTGACACTGGTAAATATGACAAGCTCACGCTTACAAAAACTGTTTTCTCAGCAACCTGGTCCAAAGCTCAAGCACCATGCCAGGCACTTTACTTGCAGCATGTCATCTAATCCTAAAGACAACCCAAGAAGCTAAGCTGGAGGTTACAGCTCCAGCTCTGATAAGGAAAGCCAGTGAACATACCCACTCCCCGCCCCAGAGAAGACTGTGAACCCGGACTTCAGCCCTGACCTAGCTTCACTCAAAACCTCTGCTCTTCGGCCCTCTGTTGGCTTACCAGCCAGGGACCCAGCCAAGCCCGCAAAGTACTCCAGGCACTGCCAGCAGGACGCCACGTCCAAGCGGGCCTCAAAGACGGACTTGCCATTGTTGATGGTCTCCACAGTGGCAATGTCCTCCGTTCGCTCCTGAGGGCACAACACAAGAGGAGCCCTAAGACACGTACATCTGGAGGCACTCAGGGCCTACACGACATGCACTTCTTGGTTTTTTAAAATAGCAACAGCTTTCACTTTCAATGAAAATGAAAGGAATGGCCCCGTGGCATTTGGCAGAGAGATGCTTCCCGCCCTCCTCTCCAGTTCGCCAAGCGACAGACACGTAAGCCCACAACCTCTTTACAAGCTCAGTCAAAAAACAGTTCCGTGAAGAGTGATGCTACGTTTCTGTGTCTTCCTGAGTGCATATGTGGGCCTGAGCATATGGTGAGAGAGAACAGTCCTTAGGGAAATGTACAAAAGAAAAGGCATTATTCCCAGAGTAGATTTCAGAGCAAAAGATATTACTAGATACTACTTAGGACTCATAGAAATCATTTTAATTCCAATTCTTTTTTTTTTTTGGTACCAGGAATTGAACCCAGGGGCAATTGACCACCGATCCACATCCCACATCCACATTATTAGAGACAGGGTCTCACCCAGTTGCTTTGGGCCTTGCTAAATTGCTGAGACTGGCTTTGAACTTGTGATCATCCTACCTCAGCCTCCCAAGCTAATAGAATTATAGGCTTTTTTTTATATTTATTTTTTAGCTTTAGGTGGACACAATATCTTTATTTTACACTTATGCGGTGTTGAGGATCGAACCCAATGCCTTGTGCATGCTAGGCGAGCGCTCTACCACTGAGCCACACCCCAGCCCCTACAGACATTTTTAAGAAGACATAACCACATATGTTCATGAATTGTTAAAAAGAAAAAAAGGACAAACCAAAATAATTATCAGCTTAGAATGATAATTTTTTTTTATATATTTTTTCAGTTGTAGTTGACACCATACCTTTATTATTTATTTTTATGTGGTGCTGAGGATCGAGCCCAGGTAGAGTGCTAGGTGAGCACTCTACCACTGAGCCACAACCCCAGCCCCAAATTAAATTCTTATTTTTTTTTTAAAGAGAGAGTGAGAGTGGAAGAGGGAGAGAGAGAGAGAGAGCGAGAGCTAGAGAGAGAGAGAGAGAGAGAGAGAGAGAGAGAATTTTAATATTTATTTTTTAGTTATTGGCAGACACAGCATCTTTGTTTGTATGTGGTGCTGAGGATCCAGCCCAGGGCCTCACACGTGCTAGGTGAGCACTCTACCACTGAGCCACAACCCCAGCCCCAAATTAAATTCTTAACAGGAGGAATTTTTTTTTGTCAAGAAAAAGTTCTCGGGCTGGGGATGTGGCTCAAGCGGTAGCGCGCTCGCCTGGCATGCGTGCGGCCCGGGTTCGATCCTCAGCACCACATACCAACAAAGATGTTGTGTCCGCCGAAAACTAAAAAATAAATATTAAAAATTCTCTCTCTC